GATCCCTTCTACCATGTGGTGGTTTTTTTTTTGTTGTTTTATTTTTTGGTACTGGGGATCAAACTCGGGTCCTTGTGCTTGAATGGCAGGCTGCAGAACCACTGAGCTAAATCCCCGGCAACCATGTGGTGTTAACCAAAGTTAAGAAGTACCAAAAAAATAAATAAATAAAAATAGAAAAAAAACAAAGTTAAGAAGTACCAATCTTCTCGCATAGATCAAGTATGGAGTTTTGTTGTTGTTTTAGAAAATGTTTGCTTAATCATTGTAATAATTCTAAAAAGTGAGGACCATCTAGAATATTCTCATTTCTGGCTTAAATTACAAGCCAAGTGTTCATGGGCAAATGGGTTTTAATCACAGAATTGTCACTCAAACAGTATTATCATGTATTACCTTGTAGAAAAAATTGTCCAGGAACACTATCACATTGCTGTTTACACTGATCATGTGTCCCTTTAAGTCCTCCTACAGCTATTTCTGTACTAAACCCACGAACTTACACCTCACTCTACTGACCTTTCACTGAGCAGTTTCAGGGCATGAAACCCGTGGCTAGCACTGAGGAACATGACATGAAATGGCACCACAAAGCCAAGTCACCAGCTTTTACTATACAATAATGAGAATGCTGTTGAGAATGCTGGCCATTGTAAATGCAGTGTTTACTTGAAAAGCCAAACAGTAAATTTTTCTCGCCTCCTACAATCAGGAAGAGATGAGCTTCTCCAATTTGGTTTCCTCTCTGGATATTGTGAAGCTGGTTATGGATTGTTTGCCTCTTCTTTTTGGTTGCTGCAGAACTTCTAGCAAGAAGAGAACAGGATCTCAAAATACACAAACTAGCCTCACTCATTTCCCGTTTTTATTAAGTATACTTTATCTTGTCATAGTGTATGCATCTTTCTAAGCCACCCCAAATACCTTTTGGAAAAGGGCTAGGGTATAAATAAAACTAAAGATATTATAGTCCAGATGCATCCTTTTACCTTTACTAGATGGGATGGTCTTATAATCAAGGGCTGTATGTTGTCCCACTGTGAAATTCCCATAGCATCTACTGCTACGTTTTACTGCTGAATATCTGAGGAATTAAACAGCAAAATATGTAAAATTTCATGGCATTATATTCCCTGAATTATAAAATAGGCAGTATAGTACTGAATGGATCTGTTACCCTCAACACAATTCATAAGAGTGTGAATTGAAGTATATACAAGGGTGTTTGCTGAAGGATCATTAGCAGCAGCAACTTTGAAGGCCATCTATTGGGAAATGGTTAAACATAAGGATACATGTGCACTATCACACATTATGTGGACATCTAAATGAAAAAGGTGATGGGGTAGGCTGCAAAATGATCAATTTCTCATAAACAAATAGTACCTGGGCATATTGTGGTAGAAAAAAGGTCTGCAGGGGTATACCTCAAAATTGGTAACTGGTGGTGTTTAAGAGTGAAACCAGGGAAGGTAGAAGGTGGGGAAGAGGTGAAAATGAACTTTCATTTTATTCTGATGGCTACAAGTTGTATATAGTTTTTTGTTGTTTTTGTTGGTTTTTTTTTTACTAATGAGCTAGTTTTTCTTTTGTAATAAACACACACACACTAGACAAAATATTGATGATCTTGAGCTGTAAAACATTCTCAAATCTTCAAAATGCACAGTGTCTTAAGGATTTGGTCAGAGATATGAAGCCAGACGATGCCAAGCCAGCTTGATGTCTTTGGTGTGGCTGGCCAGGCTTTCCATCTTAGCCTCCCGTCCTCTAGTCTTTATCTTGCTCCCTTTTTTTCCCCCACAAAACACATAAGAAATCTGTTTCATGGCATAGGTTATTTTTAAATATATGAAAAGGCAAGGAGTCTTTCTCAATCAGAACTAAGCTATCATCTTGTAAGGCCTTAAAGAGCAGGTAATATTATAATGTATTTAATGACATTCATAATTGTCCCAATATTTGTACATGTCTTAGAGCAAATATGTTACTCAAGCAAGACTACTTTTAAGAATCACGTCCCTAAAACTTAGCATTCTGACAAGGTGGTTTTCCACTTTGTTCAAATTTTTCCATCAAATAGAAACTCCTTCGGCCTCCCTTCCCACTAAATATATATCCAGTAGGAAGAAATTTTCCATGCCTTCAAAATATACTTCTGTGTATGTTTAATAACAGGGAATGAACCCAAAGCCTTGCACATGCTAAGCAAGCACTCTACCACTGAGCTGAACCCCTGGCCCCCCAAATAACGAGGGGCTTTTTAATGAGTTTTAAGCCTATCTGGAGAAAACAAATTAAAATTACCTTGACCAAGATAGTTTCTCCATGTCCCTAAAACTTTAAAGTTAAATTAGAACCGATATATAAACTCATCCATGTGCAGTTATTTCTAGGTTGAGGATCCAAAACTGGGTTCCACGGGAGTAGTCAGGATACCATAAGTCAGGAGGGTCAGAGATGACATTGGAGAAACCAGAGTTGAAGGCACTAGATAAATATATGACAGACAGCATTTAGGAAGCATGAAGGGAAAAGGGCAGAAGAAGGAAGGAGCAAGCATTTATAAGGAAGGGTAAGGTCAAACATTAAGAAAATATGAAGTAAGGTAAGAAAAGCAATCACCACAGCAAGATGGGTCAAAGGGAAGAACCAACCAGGTCGCAGTGTCAATGATAAAAGCAAGCAGTAATCAAGCAAACATGCTGGAGTGAACTCTGATACCTGTGTACTTTTACCACAGGGTTTGTTTTACTTACTGGTTGGAGTGTTAGGTGTTGAAGTCAGATGTTAATTGTTACAAAAAAAAAAATCAAAAGCCTGCAGATAGGCTATGCCCTTGATTCACTCTAGGGCAGACACTGGAATTAGCTCCCAGATGCTGGATGAGGTAGAAGCCTGAGTTTGATTGTAGATCATGAAACAGACTTCGTAGCCTAACCCTTTTATAAAATGGAATGAGAATACTTTTCCAATTCTCAGTTGAGGCAAGCGGCCAACTTCCTAACGAGTTTGATCAGCAAGTGGGGTTTAGAAACACATTCCATCCACTGCTTCTGCTCAAACTTCTAAAAGCTGGAAGGGGAGGTGTGAGCCTCCTACTCACCACTGTGCCTTATAAGCCCTGTGCTCCCTATCTAACACACAAAAGTGGACATGACCTAAATCTATTGGCCAATTTGTCCTGGATCCATTTGTCTTCTCTCTTAACCTACAGGGGAAAAAATTATTGCTCTTAAGAAATCTGCTTTCAGATCCAAGTTCACTCCTTTCACACTTCCTTTTCTTCCCTCAAAACCAACTGTCTTGCTTTGAAGTGGACAGAACCAGTGGGAAGTCCCCTTTTGTACATCAGCCCCATCCAGCTGCCTTTCATCTCTGTGACTCTTATTCCCTTCAGGCACCAATGAGTTTCCACACACCACTCTGTCCCTACCAAGTCAGGGATCTAGACAGCCCTCAATCAAGTGTATACCACCACCACCACCCCAGCAGCTCCAAGCCCCTGTCCAGCCTGCTCCACTGCAGGGGAGTGATTTTCTACCCAATGAACAAAAGATTTCCAAATAGTAGACTCTGATCTATTCACAGGTTAAGATGTTTTAAGAACACAGAACAGAAAGAGTAACAGAGTAGAAACAGAAACTTGTTTTGAAAACACATATACTTACTTATGTCCTAGGTCTCAAAATAAAATGCATTTTGTGCTGTTGTCATCTAAAAATGTTTGAAACACTGCTTTCGCCAGCCTTGGTGACCCAGTCAACACCCCCACCCCACACCCCCACCCCCATGACACTGGCCCCATTGTTCAGCAGCTCTTTTCCTCCATGCTGGCTCAAGCTCTGAGCTGACTTCCAGCTATCTTCTTCACTGGCTATTTTCAAAAACCTTGGCGTTTACTGTACACTGATTCACGAGCTCCTTCTCATGTATCCATAAGACTGTATTCTCCTTCAACAGACCAATGTTCTGTGCAAAGAAATACTTTTTGCTATTTCTGCCTTATCCTGCTTTCTCAGGTCTGGGATCTGCTTACAGCACATCCAACTGTCTCACCAGGATTAACAGTCCTCAGGGCAGTAGGACTCCATTTCTTTATGTGCTACCTCTCCTCCCCAACAAGAAAAAAAAATACAGTACTGCCAAGGTCACTAAGTGAAATACCTTAGGCATCCTTACAAAATTAGCCTCAGTTTCCTGATGTGGCACATTCTTTGGTGTAATAATACATCCCAGTGGCTGATAACCAACACAGGTGAATACAGTCATCCCTCCTGTTCAGAGAAGCCTGTTTTCCATCCTGAGAACAGATGGCCATTCCACCTCCACATTGCTTTCTTCTCACGGGGCAAATTGAAGGAGGGACAGCACAATGAGGTGACTGTGGGATCCTTGGTGGGATCCTTTCTTCTCTTCTCAAGAACAAAGGCACAAGCTGTCCAGCATAACTCCACTCCCAAGCCTGCGCTCTGTTGTCCAAGCGCCCATAATTCTCACCCGAACAATTAATTCATTATCTTCCTCAAAAGAAAAATTACAGTTTTCTGTAACTCAGTGTAGACTGCTCGGTTTACTCTTTTCAGGCAAACTAAGTATCCCACTTTTTAACCTTCCAAGAGATACTGAAGCCTAAATGAATCCTTCTTTAATCAGTAATCAGGACACTAATTCAGAAAGGATAAAGAGAGACATTGAGGTCTAGAGGGTTTCTTACAAATTAAACTGCTCCGTTTCCTCTAATACCTGTAAGGCCATCTTTGAGAGAAGATCGCAGACACCAGGCCTCCCCTAGAGCACCAGGAAGGAGAGTGAACAGGTCCCACAGCTGGAAGGTGGCTGCCCTCCCGCTGGGGACAACAAACACTCTCAGAGGGAAAGGGACAGGAGGACCCATCGAACCTCAGTTATACTCCACATTCTGCCTTAAAACTATACCCTTCGGTTGTTGCAAGCCAGCCCTCTTCCCATTTCCCAGTCAGGAATCCAGGGCTCCTTACCCCCACATGGTTATCTGGTTGTAGGGAGAGCTGTCCATCCCCTCTCAGGCACAGCAGGTACTTGCTCCTTCCCTCTCCTTGTCAGTGATGCTCCTGATTAGTATGTCACTGAGGCAGGCTTCTGAGCGCTCCCTGCTCCAAGGCTTCCTTGGTAACCACGGAATCTCTCCAATGGAGAGTTCCCAAAATGAAGGAAAAGACAAGCCAACTCTTGCACCTTACTTTGGGGTCTATTCAAAGACCACAACAAAGACCCAGCTTCTCTGGAGTTTGCAATACATAGTCTAAGCCTCTTGACTCCTCCAATTCCCATTTACCTCCATGTAAATACAACGTTTTAACAGCAAAGGGCCATCATTCCTTCCACAATAAAGAAGCCTTACAGTGAAAAGAACAGAACAGAAAGTGAATAATGAAATAATGACTAAGCAGCTGGGTCCAAGGCATCGAGCCTAGATAGATAAAAACTCATGCAAGATGACACAGTAAAGATTCAAACTCTGGAAGGAGGCAATGTAGCAAAAGGAGTAGCAGGGGTAGAGAAAAAATAAGCATCTTCAAAATAAAATTATTCTCTGGATCATCATATGGCATAGGAAATGAAGTAGGGGGACAATGAAAAGCCAGGGTTCGTCAAGCCATTCTTTCAAATCTTCTAACATGGTGAGGGTACACATTTCTAATTTAATTTCAGCCATACAAGTTAAGGAGGGGAAAGGGAGGTAAACTGTCTACCTCATATGTAGAATACTTAAAAGGGAGCTGGGATTCTCGAACTTAGGAACTTAGTGGGTACACAAAGGTGAGGTTGTATTCCACTATACATTGCGTGGTCACACAGCAGTATTTCATCTGAAAAGTCTAATTTTCTCAATTCATGACTTTGTAAAGGTTTCGCTAAAATGACAGCTTTTTGTTTAGTGCATACATCAGTTCACACCATCTACACAAACTCTTCCACTTGCTCTCAAAGTGGTATCTGAATTAATTTAAACATCATCAGAGATCACTCTCTAAGGTCAGTTTTACAGTTTCATATAAAAACATGCATACTAATCCGCAAACGTGTGCAATTAAGAAAACTCAGACAACTGAAGGTGCTTTCACCGAGGTTCTCCTGCCTCTGTGACCGTCTCGGGACGGTCGGGAAAATGCTGGCATCGAAAACCCCATTGCCTGGCTGGGTAAAGCGAGGCACTCTGTTTAACAAATTTGGCAGGGATTAGAATGGTATTTCTTCCTGACTCTGAGCTCGGTCCCTTTCCCACCAGACTCTTCAGCACTCGGTGGCTAAAAATGGGACCCACTTGAGAGCTGTAAGGGTAAATAAAAGCTACAGTACTTGTTTTAGAAGGAGGCTGGGAGGGGGCCACTTGATATTCCTGAGCGTACGTGGGTCTCTAACAACAACGCGCTCCCTGGATGCACAGAGGCTGCACCCAACCCTCGACCTGAGACCCCAGCAGCAGCGCCAGGAAAGCCGGGAGCCCGAGCGGCGCGGCCGGAGACGCGCGTGGAACGCGGGGCGGCGTGGGCCCGGGACGCCGCTGCTCTCGGCCCGGCGCGGGAGGATGCTGTGCCGCGCACCTGCGGGAGCGGCCGGCCCCCAACTCGGGCTCCCCAACCCCGGCCCCGGGGCGCCGCGCCCTCGGCCGCGCTAGTCCGGTGCGAAACGCGTTGGCCGCGCCCGCGGGCGGTGCGGGGCTCGCCTCGCCGCCCTCCTCCCCGGCCCCTTCCAGACCGTCACCTGGGCCGGGTCCCGGGGCGACTCGCGTGCGGGCGGCGGCGGCGCCGGGCCGGGAGAGGCGGCGGTGGCTACGGGCGCCTGGTCATCCGACCTGGTTCGAGGGCGGGCGCCAGCCAGAGCCGCGGCGCGAGATGCTCGCGGGAGCCGGGACGTCGCGGGCTCCGGGCCGCTTGAAGGAGCAGTCGCCGAGGCTTCGCCGCCGCCGCCGCCGCCGCCGCCGCGCCCGCCCGGACTGCGGGCTCCGGTTACCGCAGCGCGGCTCCTTAAAGGGGCCGCGGCCGCTCGAGCTCCGGCTCGCGTTCGCGGCTCCGACCCTGGCCAAAGTGGGCGGGGCCCACCTCCGGGCGCCGAATTTAGGTCCGGGGCAGGGCTCGAAACCCCGGCACCCGAAGTGGGCTGCGATAGGATCCTGGAAGATCACACGTCGCCGGGGGCACAGCACGTGGCTCCTGATCTTTCCAAAGCAAGACACACAACTCGGGAGTGGGGAGAAGTGTGAGTCCGCCTCCGCAGCGGTCAGTGCCCGGGCGAGCCACGTGGCCAAAAATCTGTTTGGATTAGGACTTGAAGTTCTGCCTTACGAGCATAAATACCTGTGGTCATGAATAGAGTGGATTGATCATCAGAAAGCAAATGAAATGGCAACGGCTGATTTTTCCTGCCACGTCTCCAGGACCCAAGTTGAGTCTAGCCTTGTTCTCCTTAGGGCTTGCAAGTGCTTCCCAAACTGGGTAGGAGGTGTGTCCGGTTCAAGCAGCCTCCTCCGGAACCGCTGAAAAACACCCTAAAGGATGCCCTCCGGAACCCCTCTGCTTTCGGGTGTGGAAGTAGAATTTGAATTTTTGATGCTGGCTGAGAATATCAAGTTGCCCCGTGCATAAATTTTGCCATTAAGTAGATCTTCTGAGGTGTATATAGCCTCAAAACTTCCAAGTGTTCTGGATCAACCAGACAGAACTGGTTGGAATAAAACAAAATGATGAAATATATTTAGGCTGTAATTTTATAATTTGTAATTGTAAGGATCTTTTTGAAAAGAGGTACGTTCTAAAAAGAATTTCTAGGGCCGGGGATTTAGGTCAGTGGTTTCACCACCCGCTGCACAAGTGCAAGGACCCGAGTTTGATCCCCGGTATCAAAAAAAAAAAAAAATTAAAAAATTGAAAACGTAGGAAAGTTATTTATAAGAAATAGCTATCAAGAGAGCTAACATATGTGACCAGTATTTACATGCATGCACACACACACACACACACACATTTATCTGCTGCAGATCTAGGCCAGAAAACGTGCACACACACAACATCACACACCCTATCCATGTTTATTTTCAATGGGAAAGCACTAGAATTGAGATCAGAACCTGAATTTTGTCCACCCATTTATTAGAGATATATGACTTTAGTTACTTGAACTTCACTGAGGTTTAATTTGTTCATCTATAAAATAGGAATAATAATTCAGCTACTCCAAGACTTGGCCAAAAAAAAAAAAAGCCTTCAGACTCTAAAAAGACAAAACTTAGACCACCCTCAGGCACAGGGCCTGTCCTGCAGTGAAGCAGGGAGGAAGATCAGGGAGGCCCCCAGTGCAGGCGCGCCCTTTTCTCCCCAAGACTCTCCTAACATACAGGATGGGTGCTCTTGTTTGTTTGTTTTTTTTAAATTCTTTTATTGGTACATTTTGGGTATACAATACGTTTACATTTATCACTGGGTGCTTGTACCTCTACATGATGTATCTTGGTTCTTATTTTTTCCCCATTCCCTGGCCTCCCTCCACCCCCTCCACCCTTCCCTATTTACATAGACTTTGTTTCCATTTTTTTCTTTTCTCATAATTTTTCCTTTCCCCTCTTTCCTTTCCCCTTCCCCTCCCACTTCCCCTTCCCCTTTGCACCTTTTCTTCCTATTTCACATTTTCAATTATTCATTTTAATCCTTATTTACACTTTCAGTTTCTCACAGTAGAGAAACTATTCGGTATTTACACATGTGTGTCCTATATATTTCACTTAAGAGTATGGCCTCAATGTGCATCCATTTAGCTATACATGTCTCTAGTTTCTCGTTCTTTATGGCTGAGTAGTACTCCATTCTATAAAAAAACCACATCTTCTTTATCCAGTTCAGGACGGGTGCTCTTTGACCACAACTTTCATCATACTTGCTTCACAATGTGAATAGTCCTGAGCACTTTGGTATATGTCTGTAGCTGCCTTATGCACTCACATGGTTATTTCATAAGTCTCCATGGGGAATGTAATCATTATGTAATGCAAACATGTACTAATAAATAATTAAAACTGAAAAAAAGTCTTCATGGGCAGAAGATGGTTATATGCGGACATTTGTGGAGTCAGCCCAGAAAGGACAGATGTCAGTGTCATCTGCCCTTTGAGGGGCGGCGTGGAGAGGTTGGTGCCACGGGTGGTAAAAAGAATTTATCAACAGTCAAGGAATATAGAAAAATCAAGGGTTTGTTGATACATTGCAAGGGAGCAGTGGATGAATTCCAAGAGAGTATTCCAAGAGCCAGAAAAAAAGCAGGGACCTTTATATTTTATTTTAAAATGAGAAAAGGAGTATAGGAACATTATTGCAGGAATGTTTCTACCAGGTCCTGATGATTTTATTGTTCACTTGTCTCAATTTTGAGGCTAGCCAAATATTATTTGAAGACTGAGTGATCCCTTCTTTTGATAGGGCTTACAGTTCTCGGCATTGTTTTTTTAAAAAAGTCCTTCTGAGTAGGGTTAGCAGATGTGTACAGGCTAATTGGGGTTAGTGATCAAGGGTTTCAGAAAAGTACATATTTATGCCAAAGGGTGCCTTTAGTATTCTATAAGGACAGGGGAGGAAAGGGTATTCTCTAAGACATGGCAAGGGATTAGAACACCTAGTAGTTCTTGTAGCCTGCAAGGTTGAAAGTCAGTTTTACTAGACTCATTGCTCAGCTGCAACTTGGCCTTAAAGAAACAACGGTAAGGGGCCAGGGATTTAGCTCAGTGGTTTCGCCGCCTGCTGCGCAAGAGCAAGGACCCAAGTTCGATCCCTGATACCAAAAAACCCCCCAAAACACGGTAAAACAGCTATGATTCCCCACATCATCTCAGGACCCTGAACAGGACTACAGACACTCGCCAATGCTCAACAGTGACTCTAAGTTGCTCTGCTCTTTCCTGATAAGTGCACCATCATTATCTTTGATATGCATAGTTCTCTAACATCAGCAACAATTCAGGCCAACTAAACTCAGAAATACACTATATTCTATGTTCCATTATATGCCTTCATATTAGGCCTCTGAATGCATGAACAAACAGCAAATTGTTTTGAGATTATACAAAACATATAAGTGAATATAACAAAATCAAAGCCTGAGATATGAAAGGAATTCAATAAATATTCGTTGAATGTTAAAATTTTTAAACTACTCAAAGCTCAGCAACTTTGGAAGGCAGACTATATCAACTATGTATGTTCCCTGAAATTTTAGATGTAATTTAATTTCTTTAGAAATAACCATTTCATAAATAGGACACACATGTGTAAATACCGAATAGTTTCTCTGGTGTGAGAAACTGAAAGTGTAAATAAGGACTAAATGTATAATAGGTAATGTGA